CTGCCCGCTCCTCCCGCCCCCGCCGAGTGAGTGCGGCTGCGCAGCGGAAGTAAGCCCGGCTGAGCAAGTAGGCGCAGATGCAGGCGCAGGCGCAGAAGCCAGCGCAGGCGCAGAAGCCAACGGCCTCCTGGAGGCTTCCGTGTGCCTGCTCACCGCCGGAGGCCGAACGCCCCGCCCCCTGGAGCCTTACGCCCCTCCTCCGGGAAACTCAAACCGGGATCTACGACTCCCAGGGCTGAGCCTGGGAGCGGAGGCCCCGCCCGTGGGAAACGCAAACTCCGCTCCCGGCCCCAGCGGGAACTGATTGGGCGCTGGCTGAGGGCTGAGGCAGAAGTTCCCTCTTGCGATTTAGGTGTCTGCTCGGGCTTGTGAGTAGGCAGTCGACCCTAACGAGACACGTTAATTTTTGTAAAACCCAAATCCAGATTTTCGAACAAGCATTCAGATGAGACCCGAAGGAAACGCTGTGCAAAAGGCGAAGAGGGTCTTTTCTAATAGAGGCATTAAAGGTATTTGTGTGGATCTCACAGATTTAAGCTCCGGCACACAGCAGGAACTTAATAAGTGCAGAATGAATTTTCAGTATGAAACTCACACATGCATTCAGACCATTGCTCTGATTTGAAGTCGCTGCAGGGTGACGTGGAAATCTCCACCTCTTACCTCCCCATCTGTCCAGCCTTCTCCCCTTGCTCAGCGCCCCACGCCTCCACTGTGCTCTTTCCAGCTGGCTTAATGTCCTGGGGCTGCTGGGACAAACAGGATGACTAAAGACAACGGGAATGAGAAAAGGGAGACCGGTGTCTCCGAGAGAGTCAGAGAACTGCTAATGATCACACTCCAAAAGAGCTGGGAACGGATGCTTTGAAGTTTATCAGAAACCGGAAGGCAGTCATTTAAAGGTTTAGATATTCCTTTCTTTTTTTTTCTTTTCCTTCAATTTTCTTTTATTTAAAAAAATACTTCCTTTGTAATGCGGTGTTCTAAATGGAAGTGAAAATTGGCACACACACACCCCCTCTGAAACCTTGTGCTGTCCTTTCTAAAAATGATGTGCATGTGCAGAGAGGGCACCTTTTTCAGGACTGTGCATCCTGAGGCTGGGTTACGATCGTTTTTAATGACTTTCCACTTGGCCCTGGCACTTGGGCTTATGATTCCTTTGCTCCCTGGCTGTGACTTGCAGCAGGAGACAGAAGTTTTTCAGAGAACCGAACTGTGAGAAAACTTTCCTTAACTTGAAGCTTCACGCCTAAGGATCTGGACCACGAGAAGAGGAAGATAGGTTTTGGAGTGAAGATGACAGAATGGTGAGAGTAGGGACTAAGTCCAAAGTTGGCTTCACTTAAGTGAAAGCATTTTAAGACTTTAAAAAACAAAATCTTGTCAGAAGATCCCTGAAACGTTCTAATTTTCATCAGCAATATAAGGTTACCCGTGTAGAAGTGTAGACATATAGTGTTGGAATTTCAATTGGCATTGCATTGAATCTGTATAGCAGTTTTGGTAGTATGGCCATTTTCAGTATGTTGATTCTTCCTACCCGGGAGCAGGGCATATCTTTCCATTTTTTTTATATCCTCCTCAATTTCTTTTTTCAGAGTGCCACAGTTTTCAGTGTAGAGATCTTTGACCCAGCCATCCCTCTGCTGGGTATCTTTCCAAGAGAACTAAAAGATTCATATCACAGTGATGTATGCGCACCCACGTTTATAGCAGCACAGTTTGTAATAGCTAAAACTTGGAAACAGCCCATTTGCCCATCAGTTGGAAACTGGATAAAGAAGATGTGGTTTTTCTATAAAATGGAATATCACTCAGCCATAAAGAATGACAGATTAGATTCATTCATAGGAAAATGGATACATATTGAGGATATACACCTAAGTGAAATAAATAAGTCACACATGTGTAAATACCGAATAGTGTCCCTGGTGTGAATAAACTGCAATAATACATAAGATCCTAATGAGATTACTGACATTGTGAAATGGAAAGAAAGGGGATAAAGATGTAGGGAAGGTGGGATGAGTAGGGGAAGGGTAATAAGGGAAAAGAAAAAAATGTGAGATAATGAAAAGATGGGGAGGGGAGGAGGGGGTGAAGGGAGGGCAGGGATAAGGGGAAAAAATGACAACCAGGACCTGTCATGTAGAGGTACAAGATCCCAACGATGAATGTTACTGTACTGTATCCCTAAAATGTACCAATAAACTCAATTAAAGCTGGAAAAAAAAAAGAAGTATAGACAACACAACACTGCTCCTTTAGATTTTAGTTGTGCTTTCTGGCTCAGGGTCTGGGTTTTAAATGGATATTGAACCAGTGCCATTAAAATAGGCAATATTTGTAAAAAGCATAAAAATAAATTTAAAAGACAACAGAAATGCATCCTGTCACAATGCTGACCAGAGCCATTCTTCCTCTGGCCCTTCCACCCTTCCAGCTTCTTGTAGCCTCAGTTGTCCCTTAGCTTGTGACTGCATCATTCCAGTCCCCCCATCTTCGCCTGGCCTTCTCCCCTGCGTATGTCTCTGGCTTCTCTGTCATTGGGTTAGGGTCTGCTCAGGTAAGCCACGATAAGCTCATAGCTTCTTCCCAACATTCCTTTGCCAAATCAGGTCATGTTCCCAGCATCTGGGATTCAGAAATGGACACTTTTCAGGGAGCTTCCGTTCAGCCATGACACCGGCCACAAGAGTGAGCTTCCTGAAGTTCAAAGCTGAGAGGCCCTAGCTAACATCCCCCAGGGTGCCTCCATTTCAGGAGAAAGCCTAAGGCTTCGGCCTGACATGCCAGCCCTTGTCAAGTCGCCCTGTTTCCTGGCCAGCCTCCATCTCCCAGCTCAGTGTCACTGTTCCCTGAAGAGATTCCTGCCCAGTGCCAAAGTGCAAGGAGCAGAGGTTATTTTGGGCCCACACTCTCAGCCCATGCAGCTTGCATGGCTCTGTGTGTGCAGTGGAGTGCCCCCGTGCCCCTGACCCCTGTCATGCCTGTCCACGGGCTGGGAGCCACTCCACTCTCCCCCTCAGTCTTGAAAGATCAGGTTGCTGGCTCTTGGCTTCCATGCACACCACACACACACCTGCACATCTTGCATCTGTCCCATGACATTTGCGCACACGTGTGTGCACATGTGCACCCTGAACCACGGTGGTACTGCCCTCCGGCCCCTGGCCTTCCATGCCAGCTGCACCTGCAGCATTTGCTGCTGAGACAATGCTGTGTAAACTTCTCCTTTTCCCCGGGACCTTTTGTAGTGTGAAGAGTCCAGGCTCCGCAAGAAATAGGTGCCTGTGAATGTGAGTCAAGGGAATGACTGAACCGATTGGTGTATAAAGCCCTGGGTCACAGGGCTCTCTCCTGGCAAGCAGCCCTAGTACAGCGGTTGGGAAATGAATAATTCAGCAGGCACACCTCTAGCCAGTGTCTCCTCTCCGGCTGGCAAGCCACACCCTCTGTGGGAGCCCTCACTTCCCTGCCTCCCGTCACCATCACAGCTGTCCTGAGCGTGGCAAAGTCCCCTCATCCTCACTGTCCCCAACCCAGGCTCAGACAGTGAGCTCCTGGAGGACCCGGCACAGAGAAGCTAGGACACAGTGCCCGATGCCACAGTGCCAGGAGCAGAGGTTACTTTGGGCCCACACTCTCAGCCCATGGTCGGCTGCTCCAAGGCAGAAGGGCCTGTCGGAGGAGAGTGGCTCACGCACAGCAGACAAGAGGCAGAAGCAGGGAGGAGCAGAGGACAAGAATAGACCCTTCCAGGGCACCCTATAGGACCCTTCCGCCAGCCCCCCCCCCAACTACAGCACACCACCCACGAACTCATCACTGACGGGTGCTGCAGCCATGAGCAAGTTGCCTGCCACACACAGGGACATCCAGATGTGGAGGGAAGATTGTG